GTATCGATTTTTTCCCCCACCCCTACTAATTACTGATCACTTCTCCAAGAAAGTAATCCTGTTGCTTTACCGATTTCTTATTTTCAAAAGTAATTGCTTTATTACTTTGTTACTTTGTTTCTTTTTTAAAAACATGATACACAACCTGGATACGTAATAAAACAATAGACCTTTCAGCCCAATTCTATTTTTTCTGCGTCATTGATCATGGATTTTTTTCAATGTTTTTGTCACTTTTTACAGAATCAAACTCAAAGTAATGTGAGTACTTCCAAGCTTTAAACGCTGCATGGTCTCTCTCCTGCACTCCTTATTATCCGTTGCTGATCTACACACGTCTGTTGCTCGTTTGTTGTTCCACGCTCATGAGACACTCTCACAAACAAAATCACAACGGTTTAGTAACGCAGTAATGTAGCCTGCTTACAGGGAAGTAACAGTAATCTAATTACCTTTTTTGCAATAGTAATCCCTTACTTTACTCGTTACTTAAAAAAGTAATGAGATTATGCGTTATTGCCCGTCTCTGGTCCACATACAGAAAGTATCATAGAAGGATTTAAGGTATCATGCTACATTTGACCTCTGACCTCTTGTTCATGATTAATGAATTAAGACTCAAAGTGACAAATTTAAAACTTTGTTACTTACTACCATTGTTATGAATAGATAGGAATATAGGGAATTATATATTTTTATTTAAAGACAGCGTTGTCAAGAGAAAGAGAATGACCTGCCTAGTTAATAGGAAATATACTATAATATATAATATTCATGTACTTTATTATTAAACATTTAAATAATGAAATGAATTGTACACATGTAGTATATCTGCATATCTGTATAAATAAAAAAGAATTATGTCAAGTATAGTAACGTGGGTTTCAGCAGGACAAAATAAAAGCCCTTGTTTTTATTTCAATACAAATTTCTTAAAGAAGGACAAAGAAAAGGAAATAAATAAATACAAAATATCACACTATTGCCTTTGAATTATTTCTAAAAACCGGACATCTGTGCAGACCACAACTAGACAGATAAGCCGATCGGATTCAGACTTAAACTAACATCAGACAGTCTCTAGAACCATTAAACATCCAATATACTCAACTTCCCAGAAAGTTTTGACTTCACGTGTGAAAATAGGAATGATTTTTGCTGTGTTTTGTGCCACGGTATCAGCTTAGATATTAACCTGCATAGCATTCAGCCCATGTTTAAACAAAATATGGCAGTTTCTGCTATTTCCTGTCAGGACAAATGGAAAATGTAATTTGCTTAAATATGATGGAGCTAAAAAAACGCTTGGTTTTCATCACTGACTGATAATATGGGATCTGTCTCCCAGCCTGCCTGTCCTGATTATAATGATGTATAAACCTTCAGCTGATGTAGATGCCAAAAGCCAAAAAGACCACAGAATTGCGCTCATTTTGCTGTCAATAGATGACATGAAGAGAGCTGATGCTGAGATGTCTTTATTTCCTCGATGCGTTGTTGGCATGTTGA